CCGCCCCAGCCCCACCCCGACCACCGGTCCCCGCCCAGGCCCTGGCGCCCCTCTCCCTGAGCTCCGCCCCAGGCAACCAGGCCCCGCCTTCGCTCCGCCCCGGCCCACTAGTCCCCGCCCCTGACTGCCAGGCCCCGCCTAGCGCGCGCTGCCCTGCTAGACGCAAGGCCCCGCCCCCGACGGCTTCGCCCCTCCAAGGAGTAACCACTAGGTTTCCCCGGCCCGCTAGGTGGTGGTTCTCGGCACCGCCCCGTCCGCCCCTCAGCGCGCACCTGTGAGGCACCACCCAGCCTGCCCCAGTCCCCGCCCCCTCCGGAAGTCGCCAAATAGGAGCACGTGAGCAGCAGGCAAGGTCTCCAGCAGCTAGCGCGAGCGTGAGGGCGGGCCCTCACGGCGTCTGCCTGAGCTGGCAGCTGGGGCTCCCCGAATCGGGGGCATGCGCTGCGCCTGACGCTGCGCGGATCCCTGGAGCACATCCACGCGCGCGAGAGGGCGGGCGGGGGCGTGCGGCCAGTGTGGCTGCCTGCCGGGAGCCTTTTAGTCCTCAGGTCCTACCGCCGCCATCGGTGTCCAGGCACTGTGGCACATAGCCTAGGAAAATCAATCCAAGGAGGGCGTGAGCTGAGTTGAGTGGGGGCGTCTCGGGCCGCAGGCAGAGGGACGGCCTCCCACAGGGGCCATCAGGGCCGAGCCCTAAGAGACGAGGAGCTGGCTGGCCGCGCAGAGAAATGGGGACAGTGTTCCAGGCAGTGGACCCGCCATGCAAAGGCCCTGAGGCTGGGAGGAGGGCGGCTGGTGAAGTCGCCTCTAGGGCAGGTCTGGCAGGTAGCCGGGTCAGGTGACTGGCCGGGTGCTTGGTGGGGAAGTGCTGGGCTGGACGCCTCAGGCCCCTACCTGGTTAGGGTTAGGACCCTGGCTGTGCCGGCAGGGAGGGTGTGGTCCAGATGCCCCAGGCTGCAGACAGGGGCCATCCTGGGTCCACCTGGCAGGATGGCTCTGAAATCACTGGGGAGTGATGAGGTGTACTTCCGGCCTAGGCCCCAAGCACCTGGAGCTCCTTTCCACCCAGGTCCTTCTCTCCTCCCAGACTTCTGTCCCCTCCCCCTGGCTGTTGCCGGGTTTGTAAGGAAAACTCTTTCCCCACCACCCCAGCACCCTCTCTTTTCATCTTTAAGAGCTTCTTTGGAAGCAGAAAAACAGAACCAGAACGGGTTCTCTGGTTCTGGGGTCTTCTTCCCCTGGTTCTCCTGTGAGGACAAGGAGAGGCCAGAAGATATAGAGGGACAGCATGAATGATGTTCCACATCTTACTGGAGCACCGGACCCTGGATCCTTCCATCTGGTCCTGGAGTCCACCCCCAGTGCCCACCAGTGAGACCTCTAGGCCCCTGAGGGACAGCCTCCCAGAACAGGGTGTCCTCCCCCCCAGAACAGTTACTTGGAAGGGCTGAGCTTTCAATTATTTAAAATATTTAAAGTTGGGCGGGGAAAGAAACACTGCAAAAAAAAAAAAGTTAGATCTGGATGTTTCTTTGGTCATCTGGTCTTGGAGAACACGTGTGTCTGATGAGGGCCGGGACAGGGACGCCTCATACGTGCCTCTGGGGCTTCACCAAGTTCCATAGCTCTCAAGAAAAGGCCACCTCCTTCCTTGGGAGGTCCCAGGGTCCACTGCTTTCCCCTTCTATTCATTCCCAGGAGGACTGGCCCTTCCTGGGAAGGGTGTGTCCTTGGAACAAACATCTGTGCTGATGTGTGGGTTGGCAGAGACATGTGGGAAGGAGCTGTTGGGGTGAGGGTGGTCCTGAGAAAATGTGTGTGTGTCATCTCTGGTCCCTGCCTGTTCTCGGGTTGGCCAGTTAACCTTTGAAAAGAACAATTCCATAGCCATGCACCTGGGACTTGTACTTACTCCCCAAGTGTGCAGGGGTCCTGCCACTCACCCCTGATTCCCGTGTTTTCTGTGCTTGCAATTCTGTCATTTTGCATCTGGGGTGCCTGGGGGTGTTCCTGGCAGAAGGCCACGTGACTAACCAATGAGAAGCCATACGTCTGAGGTATCCAGCACTGTGCTCATGGCCACATGCAGCTCTGGAGCACTGGAGCGGGGCCAGTACAACCGAAAAATGGAATTTCACGTTTTATCTATCAATTTGAATCTTGAATTAAAGAGCCATGTGTGGCCACTGTACTGGACACAGCGGTTGTAGAAGCAGACTACCTGGGTTCCGTTCTCCACTCTACAAGACTCTGGGCTTCCGTCTCTGTGCCTCAGTTTTCCCGTCTATGGAATGGGTGCAGTGATGGTCATAATGCTTACTCATGGATGTTCTGAAGGTGGAACAAGTGAATATGTTGGAGTCAGTGATTCTCAAGTGTTCATGGACATCAGAACAATGGTGGGGCAGGAGGCTGGCCCCACTGCAGAGTTTCTGATTTCCTGGGTCACGGTTGGCCTGAGAACTGGCTTTTCCAACAGGCCTCCACCTGGGTTACTGGTCTTGTCCTGAGCCTCACTGTTTCAGTACTGAATGGTGCCTGGCCTGTGGTGACAGGTGAGTGTCCCTGGTCACTGTTCCCATGCATTGCCCCGGGGTCCTGCTCCCAGAGCCACCTCCCCTAACCAGCATCCACAGGCCTGGTTCCCTGTGTGCGTGGCTGTGTCCTCCCCTCTCCGCACAGTCCAAGGAGTTCCCAGGAGCTCGTCCCAGCCCCCCAGGTCTTGGCACCCAGCCCCTCACTGGCCTAGGCCACATGGTGGGCCCGGGGGTGGGGGATGGAATCCCTCCCCCACATGCCTGGGCCCTGCTGGCAGAGGCCTAGGGCACAGCTCCCACCACCATCACCTTAGCTTGCCCAGAAATGCCTGCTTATCAGCTGCCACCAAGTCACCTGCCACCACGTCACCTGCCAGCACTGTGTCCTCTGCCGAGCACATCCCCCCAGTGGGCTCTGAGCGGTGTTGGGAGTCACGAGACACTGCCAGCCTTGTCACTCTTGGTTGTTTGGCTTTGCTCTTCTGTAGGTGCTGAGCAAAGCCAAGTGACTTGAGGTTGTCTCCACAGTTGCAGTTGTTCCAACAGATCCGCATCAGGCCTGGGAGGTCACCCAACCCCTGCTTCTCTAGACCAATCATGGTTTCTGTTTGTAGGATGACAGCTAGAAAGCTTGTTCCACTTCTAACAGGTGAGCCCTGACACCCCATCTGTGAGCCACTGTGGGCTCATCTGGTGGCAAGGTTTTGACCTTTCCAGCATCTGGGTCAGTGCTTCAATCTGTTTTGGATGCTAAGGCTGTTTCCATGGATACAGTCAGTGGGACAGCCCAGCAAGTGGCCACTCTTCCAGCTACGGGATGGACAGGCGTATCAGTCAGCTCTTGCTGTGATCATGCTCTGTAGCCAAAGTGCCCAGACCCTCGGTGACACAGCCACAAGGACTTCATGTCAACTCCTGTCTCGCCAGGGACTGCCCCACCTGGCATCTGGAGCGGAGGAACTGGTTGGGCTGGCTCTCCTAGCCGTTGTTGGGGTGGCCGCAGCCCCTTCTCAGCTGGGCAGATGTGGAGGGGTCTCTGTGCTTTGCTGGGCACTGCACACTGCGTGTCTCACCTCAGGCCCACACTGGCTCATGTGCCTCAGCGTGAGCTGTAAAAGGAGGCACCCACTGGATGAGACTCACTCAAAGATGCCACGTGACTGGGAAGTCTCAAGGTGGACCGTCAGAACAAGGTGCCGGCCTCTGAGGGGGAAGCTGCCATCTTCCAGATGCCCTAGCTGGGCATGCAGAAGACACCAAAACCCTAACTCACACCTTTTTCAGCAACTGAAGGCATTTGTTTCTTTCTGGGTTCATTTGGACAGACCCTGGAGGCTTCAGGGTTGAGTTGGCTATAGTCTTTATGGAAGCTGCTCACCAGGCCTGGATCTTCCACGCTACTGGTGGGTTTGAACTGGTGACCTTAGGGTTATTAGCCAAGTGCAGACTGTCTCTGCCACACAAGGACCTTTCAGTAACAAAAAGTGGGGATTGTTTATTACTTTATGTAACTGGAAAGCACACAGGTTTCCAGTCAGGCAAAGCTTGATCAAGTAGCTCAAGATGAACCCACTGAGCTCAGTGGATGAGCTTCCTGTAGCTGCTGTAACAAATTAGCACAAATTGGATGCCTGGAGACAACAGGAATGTGCGCTGTCCTAGTTCTGGAGTCAGAAATCTGAGGTCATGGTGTCAGTGGGCCTGTGCTCCTGCCAGAGGCTCTGGGAGCAGGCCCTCCTCTTCTCCTCCAGCTGCTGGGAGCTGCTGGTCCTCCCTAGTGGCCCATCCCGCTGGTGTCCACTGCCGACTTCCCATGGTGTCTGTCCATGCAGTGGTCCATACACATGATGTGTGGGTCTGGGTACCCTGTGCACACAGCCACATGGCAGGAGCTCCACTGCTGCGTTCCTGTCCCAGGCTGGGCAGAGACAGCCCACCTGCCTCCAGGTGTCTGGCGGAGCGCTGGGGAACAGCGGCCTCAGGCAGTATCTGGGGCAGATTCCAGCTCAGCCTGACCTCTGTGTTCCCCATCTCCACCCTGATGAGGCCCAGCAACTCGGCCAAGACTGAGATGGGCCATTGCTTGCCCTCAGCTTTGGGGCATCAGATTCTGAGGGTAGCCATCCAGGTAGACAGACAGGTGGGAGCAGAGGTGGCAGATGGCAGCTGTCAGGCCCAGTGACGAAGAGCAGCTGAGGAACAGGCTTGTGTCTGGCACAGACGGAGGCTCAGATGGGCACAGGCCTGAGAGGCAGCTCAGGCTGCACTGGGCAGGGCTGCGGCCGAGGCCGGGGGCAGGTGGGGCGGTGTCTGGTGAGGAGATGCCGTGGTGATTCGTCTGTGCAGAGGAGGGCCTGCTGGCCGCCCAGGTGGACACCGGGCACTGGGGCCTCAGGGGGACCCCAGGATTTTCTCTGGCTGATGTTTCAGAAGTAGTCACCAGGCCTCTACCTGAGGCAGGTAAAGGGAGGGCTCAGACCCCTAATCTTTTGATTAGCAGCCAAGTGCTTACCCAGTGCATCACCAGGGCTCCTTGGCTCGGACACAGGGGCTAGGAAAGCCCAAACCAAAGACCAAACTCACTGCCATGGAGTCGGACCCAACTCACAGCGACCCTTCCTTGGGTTTCCGAGGCAGTATCACTACAGAAGTAGGTTGCCCAACCTTCCTTCAGAGGAGTGGCTGGTGGCTTTGAACTGCTAGTCTTCTGGTTAGCAGTTAAATGCCTTAGGCACTATGCCACCAGAGCTTCTTGGCTTGCACATAGGGGCTAGGAAAGCCCAGGTCTATCCTAAAAGCAACAAAATAGTGGCTCCTTTGCACTCTGGGTTCCAGGACCATGGACAGGGCTGCCTGAGCCCTGTGTTGCTGGGGAAGGGTGTCAGTCAGCATCTAGAAAGTTCTCTAGAAAGCTCCCTGCTCCAAGAAATCTCCCTGCTCTCTAGCTCTGCCTGGCCATATGTGGAAGTGATAATTAGTGAAATGACCCCAGGGTGTTTGCCAGGCTCAGTTGCTGGGGATTGGAGAGGGTGGGTGTGGTGGGTGGGAAACTGGGTTGTGAGTTCTGACTTTGCTTTCCTCACAAAGCTGCATTCCTGGTCATGAGTTCATCCATCCCCCGACCCACCCACCCATCCATCTATCCATCTATCCACCCACCCATCCACCCACTCACCCGCCCACCCATCCATCCATCTGTCCACTTACCCACCCACTCACCCATCCATCCACTCACCCACCCACCCACTCACCCATCCATCCATCCATCCATCCATGCATCCATCCATTCACCTACCTACCTACTCATCCATCCACTCACCCATCTATCCACTCACCCACCCACTCCCCCATCCATCCACTCCCCCATCCACCCACTCATCCATCCATCCACTCACCCACCTACCCACGCACCCATCCATCCACTCACCCACCCATCCCTCCACCCAACCATCCATTCATCTATCCACCCATCCCCCATCCATCCATCCATCCATCCATCCATCCATCCCCCATCCACCCACCTACCTACCCACCCACCCATCAGTCCATCCATCCATTTAGCCACCCACCATCTGTCTATCCATCTATTTATCCACCCACCCATACATCCCTTCATTCAATGATTTCTATAAATATAAGCACTAACTACATGTCAGGGACAGTTCTAGGCACTGGGAGGCCATAGAGAGCCAAAGACACAAGCCCTACCCTCATGGAGCATACCTTCTCATAGAGGAAAAAACAGAAAAACTCCATTTATTAGAAGGGAAGGGGCTTGGCCTGGTTATCAGTAGGGAGAGCATGGGACCTTGCCAAGGGGTGAAGATACCAGGAGTAAGAGGACTTTGGGGGTGTGGGGCAACATGTGCAAAGGGCCTGGGGCAGGAGCCAGCAGAGCCTGGGCAGCAGTGAGTGGGAATGGTTGGCGGGATCACAAGCAGACCCCATGGGCTTGGGGCCATGGCTGGGACTTGGTTTTTCCTGTGTGAGGTAGAGTCACTCAGGGGTTTGAGAAGTGATGGGGGTCACTTCCTTCCTAGAAGTTTCTCTCCTGAGCTGTGCCGACAACAGGTGAAGGTGGGAGGCAGCATGGAACATGGCACATCCCTTCCTGTCCCTCTCTGTGGCCCTATAAGGCGGTGGGGTGGCTCTGGGAGGCAGAGACAGCCATAGGAGAGAGCATGTGTGGTCAGGGTCATGGGGAGGCTGGTCTTGCCTCGTGGCCCTGGCAGCATCCATGCTCTCCTTCCTGCTTGTGCTTTTGTAGGGGGCAGGGGGTGTTGAGGTGGAGGACGGGCCCCACCTCCTCTCCCTTCCCAGTCTGCCTTTCTTCAGGTGGGTGTCCGGGGGTAGGGACACGAGCTGCCTAGCTCTGAGACCCACTCACCCCTTTCCTGCCTGCTCTGTACCACAAGACTCTCCTCGTAGGCCCCTCAGAGTTCCAAGCAGACTCAGAGCTCAGAGTGGGAGACATAGGAGGGGAGAAGCCAGGCTGTCCCCCCTCTCTGCCAGGGGTGGCTTCTCAGGCCGTGGCTGCCCTTGCCTAGCCTTGGGCTGCTGGGGCCAACCCTGAGGTGTCTTCTGATACCTTCTTACCATGCGGTAAAGCCCGTAGGTTTGCTGTGACTGGGAAGGCTCTCACTCCCTGATGGGCCCTGACCCACACAGGGTGACCATCAGTATCCAGGACCCTCTGAGTGTGGCCCTGCTCATCCTTGGAGCCCAGCTGGTCCAGTCCAGCCTGGGGACCAGGCCTCTCCTTGCTGTTCTGGGGGCCAACAGGAGCCCTTGCTTGGAGGGAAGCCCTACCTGGTGCCACCTTAGACCTGTAGTAGGAACCACCAGCCCTGGCCCAGAAGGCAAGCTGGTGGCGCTGGGCCATACACAGGGGCAGCGGGAGGCATCCAGGACAGGTGGCCCGCACAGCTATGGAGCGAGTGCTGCCCCAGGGGTCTAGCTCTCCTGCAGCTGGGGATCTTGCAGGAGGTCCCCGAAACAAAATGTGACAATTCAGGTAGTGATGGGGTTGCCCTGTCATGGGAGCTGGGACAGTCATGGTGGCCTTCAGCCCTGAAAGTGTGGCCTCCATAGTGTGACATCCACACAGGGGACTAACTTTAGGGGACTAACACGCGACAACTCAGGTGAACCTCACAGTTGTGCCGAGTGAACAAGCCAGATGTGGAACAGTGTCCTGTGTGGTCCCATTGCTGTCAGCTCTGGAGCCATGGAAAGGAACAAAGCACACCCATGATCCTTGTGCGCATGGGGCTGGCAGCCAAAGGCAGAGGGAAATTTTGAGACGGTGGGACAATTCTACGTGTTGATTGTGGCACAAGCGTATCCATTAGTCACGCTTGTCAGATTGTACACTTAAATTGAGCACAATTTAATCAACAAAAGAGACTGCCCAATCTGGGACAGGACGACCTGGGTTTAATCCCAGCTTTGTCACTCACCCACTGTGTGACTTTCCCCACCTCTCTGTGCCTTAATTTCCTTATCTTCAAATTGGGAGAACTAGGACCACCACAAGGAGCTCTGGTAGCATAGTGCCTAAGGCACTTGACTGCTCACCAGAAGGCTATTGGTTCAAACC